GGGGGAGAAAAAAAAGCCGGAGGATAATTTATTTCCAATTTCGATCTCGCATTATGATCTTCTTTTTAAAGTTATCTAAAAGATCAGTGAAAAAATATCTGTAGATAATAATGAAACTACGCATCAAAAAAAATATGTAGAAATCACTTCAACGTTCATACTCAAATGTTGTTGAATTAATAAACTTTGGAGGATAAAAATTTTTTACACCCATTTTTGATCTATAGAGTTCCAAATGCACATTCAGAAGCAATGTAGTCTCTCGCAAGTGGTAGTAGGGAAGTTCAGGTATTGAGCAATATCCTAGGTGGTTATGCTGCTCCACTGTCGAGCAGAGCGAGATAGTGGAGCAATACTTCGTAGCTTGTCACAACACTATCTCGCTCTGCTTGATAGTGGAGCAATACTTCGTAGCTTGTCACAACACTATCTCGCTCTGCTTGATAGTGGAGCAATACTTAGTAGCTTGTTAAAACACTATCTCGCTCTGCTTGATAGTGTCATAGCTTGGACCTTTTACAAAAGCCCCTCTTTTATCTACCACTGTGATAACACATACGTTTAGGACCCTGTAGCATTTTTCTATTTTGCAACTACGGGTTTGTTTTACAGAACAACTAGTAGGCCCTTTATCAACCATAAAAAATGTATAGTTTTTTTTTAGTTTTTGCCACTTTAATCAAATGTATATTCTTTTTCTGTCTCTAAGGTCATCGCGTAGAAGAAAATAAACCGCCTAAGCTCTCACTAGAAATTTGTCATAAACCGTCTAACCAGAACTTTGTCATAAACCGTCTAACCAGAACTTTGTCATAAACCACCTTTTTGTATAATCCATTCCTTCCCCAGCCCATGTGTAGATATTAGTATTTTACCTTAATCTCACTCGCTCTACGTCTCGGAGTGGGTAGAATAAAAGTATCTAACGTCAACTATGAGGAAAACTCTTGCTGATTATACTTGCTTTGAACCCTCTTAAGATATCAGATCCAGAAAAAAAAAAAAATTTCTAATACAAAGAATAGAGTGATGAAAAACTACGCGCGAGATTTAGATCGCGTCTTTTTCTACTAGTTTTCTTCTTATACCCCAATACATTTTAGAAAAAGAAGCAGATCTACCAATACAGATGACACAGTCTGATATAGAGGTTCAACTGGAAAGGTTGGAAAGTACCAATATTCATGCGGCAGACGCAGGTGAACCAGTCGAGGACGAGTTGAGTGGTCCTTTGTTAATTGAACAACTAGAAGGAAATGGGGTTACTTCATCAGACATCAAAAAGTTGAAAGCTGAAGGTTTCCACACTATCGAGTCTATTGCATATACACCAAGGAGACAGTTGATGACGGTGAAAGGTATAAGTGAAGCCAAAGCGGACAAAATAGCTAATGAAGCAGCGAAAGTAGTTCCTTTGGGTTTCACAACTGCGTCTGAGTTTCATTCAAGAAGATCTGAACTAATCTGTTTAACTACTGGGTCCAAACAATTGGATACTCTATTAGGTGGAGGTATTGAAACAGGCAGTATTACAGAGGTGTTTGGGGAATTTAGAACTGGTAAATCTCAATTATGCCATACTTTGGCCGTCACGTGTCAGTTGCCTATCGATATGGGGGGCGGTGAGGGCAAATGCCTTTATATTGATACAGAAGGAACATTTAGGCCTAATAGACTAGTTTCTATTGCGGAGAGGTATGGTTTAAACGCAAATGACTGTTTAGATAACGTTGCATACGCAAGAGCGTACAATGCGGAGCATCAGCTAAATTTATTGCACTTGGCAGCACAAATGATGTCGGAGCTGAGATTCTCGGTGTTGATAGTTGATAGTATAATGTCATTGTATCGTACTGATTATGCCGGAAGAGCAGAGTTGAGTGCAAGACAAACACATGTTGCAAAATTTATGAGGACTTTACAAAGATTAGCTGATGAGTTTGGCATTGCTGTTGTTATTACAAATCAAGTTGTTGCTCAAGTGGACGGTATGAGTGGGATGTATAATCCTGATCCTAAAAAGCCCATTGGTGGTAACATCATTGCTCACTCTTCAACAACAAGATTGTCATTTAAAAAGGGAAGAGCAGAAACTAGAATATGCAAGATCTACGATAGTCCTTGTTTACCTGAAAGTGAATGTGTCTTTGCCATATACGAGGATGGTATTGGTGATCCGAAAGTAGAGGATGATGACTAAAATATACCTTCTTTGTTGTTGTTGTTTTTTTTTTTTTGTTTTGGTCCTGGCACTAGAATACACTTTGAAAAAAATGATGAAAAGAGTTGGATTTCTTTTATATTATTTATTTGGCTGCTTATATTTGGTTGATTGGGACTTATTAAAAACGTTTGAATGGTTTTTTCCATCCTCTTTTTATCTTTTTTTCTTTCTTTCTTTAAAGTAGAATTTATAGAGCCAGCGCAAAATTGAGTCCAAACTTGTGAATAAAGTTTTTTTTTCTATTTTTTTCTCAAAAGGGAAGGGGGTTGAACATGAAGGGAGGAGTTTACTTAAATTATCTCATCATTTGGATGTGAGATAGTTGAATGACTAGGTGTTTTGCTTACTGGTTTGGTTCATTCAATTATGTCGCTTGTCTTGACCATACAAGGCAAGAGGTATATGTTTGATCTTAAAATATATCTAACGCATCCTGTATTCACGTGAGACTGTACTAAAAAACAAGTCGGGGGGAAGTAGGGGACACATGCATATTGACAACTTTCAATAGTTTTTGTTGGTGCAAAAGGATCATATAATTAAGTACATTGTTATGCATGTTAGTCCCTATATAAGAGTTTGTTTTTTTTCTTCTTTTTCCAACGTCTTTTGTAGCAAATCATTTTCAACCCCATTTTTCACCAACAACTAGTACTAGTTAGTGTGTTTGCTTTAAACAAAAGACACGCGATTACAAAATGATAATTTTTAAGCCTTGATTAGTTCCCTAGCCATGTGAACACTAAAGAGGGGGGGGAGGCGGGGGAAATAAAGTAAAGAATTTATTAGTGGACATTAAATCTAAACCAAGCCAAAATCAACTTGACATTCAACTAAAGCCATTCTAATTGCCATTAAAAGTATGCACAGGTAGTAACTACTACAATTGTGGATATATTTCTCTGACTAACTACAATTAGCTGCATTGTTTTTTGGTAGCTTTTTTTTTATCTTTTTTTTTTTACTGCTTGTATGTGAGGTTTAACTGATCAAGCACAAAAAACAATTTATCTAAACGATCAGTCCTACAGAAAATTATAAGCTGTGTTTTTTTTTTCTTTTTTTTTTTTTTATTTCTTTTTAGCTCTAGAGCAAGAGCTAGTTTGTATTCAAACCTGATGTGAGGATTTCAGTTGGGTCATAACTCGACACTTTCATCTAATCAATCCCTGTTATTTGTTTTTATTTTTATTTTTTGAGGTATTTTTGACATCAACAAACAAATAATCAGGGTTTATTTCTCAGTACTAAAGTTGGGTACTAATGGTCATACTTAAGGCTTCTTAGAGGATGTGGATGTGTGATAAAATTCAGTTCATCCCTAAAGCACCCGGAAGTTTCCTGATCCTTTGTTCTTCATCTTTTAAATAATAAAAAAACAAACAATATACTACCTTTATTTATACCACGTTTGCACCTTTATTTCATCACATCTTCTAGGTTAGTCACTTTTCTCACCAAGAAAACGGTTGATGGTTTTGTGTAGCAAAGTGAAAATTTTTTATCTTTTTCATCAGTAAAACTTGTAATTAGTTACACTACTCTATATTGCACCCAAACATATATACTTTTCTTTGTTCTTCTTTGGCTAGCAGAAACTCAATTCGTTCTTTTCCACTTATGGATTCAACCCAAAAAACCCAAATTTTAGACATAAAGAATAAAGAAACAAGGGGTAGAGAAGAATACTGAGACGAGAATTCTTTGATGATCAAACATATTTCGTACTTTGTTAAATATCAATAAACCTACCCTAGATCTTTTAGATTAAACACTGGTAATCTTGTCCCTTTCGCCAATACATACACAGTCTGCATTTCTTTCCAAGTTGAGGTTGACTAGATTTGTTGAAATTTTTTCTAATACCAGCCACGAAAACACAACGCTGCAGCACCCATCAAGGACTGCGCTAAGGAATCATTCAACAAGGCTAAACAGAGTCCCATTTTCTTTTCAGCAGTAGGGGACAAGAAGAGAATATCACATCATTAAGGCAGCTTTAAAGAATTTAGCCTTTTCTCCCCCTGTGCTCAATTATTTTTTCCATTATTCTTATTACAATTCATGAAGTTTTCAGAGAAAGCAAAGGTGAAGATCTTGCCTAAACCATCGCCAATGGTTCCGCAAGTGCTGACTCCGTCTCTATTGGTGCCGGTTCAACAGTCACCTGTATCATCTAGTCCTTCTGTAACTGCACCTAGAAGCAAAAAGAGATTGAAATTAGTGTCAAGCGCGGGTGCTTCTCCTTCTGTTTCTTCTACTGAACACAAAAAACAACGCAGAACGAGTACTACTACCACTGCTGCCGCTACTACTGCTACTGCTACTGCTACTGCTATTGCTTCACCAATAGAACAAGTGCCTCCGTCTCCGTCGCTTGCAGCAACACCAAGACCATCTAAACAAACTGGTCATAGACCAGTGACATCGTGTACTTTTTGTCGCCAGCACAAAATTAAGTGTAATGCTTCTGATAACTACCCACAGCCCTGTAAACGATGCGAACGAATGGGTTTGAAGTGTGAAATTGATCCCGAGTTTAGACCTAAAAAGGGATCTCAAATACAATCTTTGAAACTGGACGTGGATGAATTGAAAGCCAAAATTGAAATGTTGACTAAAAATGAGTCGTTACTAACTCAAGCATTGAATCAACATAATTTGAACTTTTATAATCAACAATCATCACTGGGATTGACACCTCATTCTACATTTCAGACGTTGTCACAACCTCCTCCTCCTCCTCCTCCTCCTTCTTCATCATCATCAGCTCCACCTCATTCTAATGCTCCTCATTTACAAACGCGTAGGAGTAATTCCTACCCAGTGCTTCATCATGGAAACTCAGTGGTTTCTCCTTCTATTCATTCTAGTCATGACAGCACACACGTGTCCCCAGTACCTTCTGTAACCAGCATCCAACAAAATGCACCGTTGATGCATGACAATTCTGATAACTCCCCTTGCTCTACAATGAACACGCCGGAGATCAAGGACGAAAATTTTCAACCGATATCCGAATTCATCTTGGGAGATGTTAAATTACCATTGGCTAAAGCTAATAAGTTACATGACAGATTTATGACAAAGCATTTGAATTTCCTACCTATAATTATATCCCGATCAGCAACAGAATTGTATCATAAATCAAACTTGTTATTTTGGAGCGTGATATTGACTGCAAGTTTGTCTGAACCGGAACCAACTTTGTATATGTCCTTGGCTTCGTTGATCAAACAATTGGCAATTGAAACGTGCTGGATCAAAACTCCAAGATCAACACACGTTATTCAAGCGTTGGTTATTCTTTCTATATGGCCATTGCCCAATGAGAAAGTACTAGATGATTGTTCTTATAGATTTGTTGGCTTGGCCAAGAATCTTTCGTTACAGTTGGGATTGCATCGTGGTGGAGAATTTATTCAAGAATTTAGTAGGAACCAAGTAAGCTTGGGGCCAGATGCCGAAAGGTGGAGAACTAGATCTTGGTTGGCACTCTTCTTTTGTGAACAATTTTGGTCTTCTGTGTTGGGATTGCCACCTTCTATTAATACCACTGATTATCTTTTGGAAAATGCTAGGGTTGACCAGTCTTTGCCTAAGGAGTTCAGGTGTTTGATATCATTAAGCATATTCCAGTGTAAGTTAGTAAATGTTATGGGAATTAGTGTTACTCGACCTGACGGGTTGTTGGAACCGTTGAACAGAGCAGGATCATTGAATTTGTTAGATCGAGAATTGGAGAGATTAAAATTCAAATTACAATTTGATAACGGGTCGCCTATTGAAGTTTACCACTTGTATCTTAAATTGATGATCTGTTGTTTTGCCTTTTTGCCAGGTACACCAATCGAGGATCAAGTTAAATATGTGAGTTCGGCATATTTGTCCGCAACAAAGATTGTTACCATTGTTACCCAAATGTGTCAGGAAATCTCATTGATTGAATTGCCAATATACATCAGACAAGCTGTTACATATTCTGTGTTTTTGTTATTTAAACTTCATTTATCAAAGTATTTGATTGACAAATATGTTGATAGTGCAAGACAATCGATTGTTACTGTGCACAGGTTATTTAGAAACACTTTGGGCTCTTGGAAAGTGTTACAAAATGATATCTCAAGAACAGCAAAAGTATTAGAGAATTTAAACATGGTGTTGTTAACTTATCCTGATATTTTTATGAGTGAAAATGAACAAGGTGCAAGCATAATTACGAGAATGAGATCGCATTTAACTGCATCGTTGTTTTACGACTTAGTTTGGTGTGTTCACGAAGCAAGAAGAAGGAGTATTCAAGATAGAGGTAAAAACAAAAAACCAATTGAAATCACTGATAAAAGATTAATACCGTTACCGTTTTATAATCAAATCACCAAAGATGATTTTAGAACCATTACAACCACTTCACCAAATGGTACCACTATTACTACTTTGGTTCCTACGGACCATGCAATGAATCATGCTAGATTACAAGCGTCTGACAGTAACAAGCCCTTGGAAATCAATGGTATTCCTTTAGCGATGTTGGAAGCCACGGGGTCAACAAGAGATGGAATGAGTTGCAATGGGCAATCTCAACAAATAGTACAGAACCCACAACCGCCACAAGAACAAGATCATGACCAAGGGCTATCTCAAGGACAAATGCTTGAACACCGAGTAGATCAGCCACCACCTCAATTACCCTCTCAATATCATGAGCCACAACAACAACAACAACAACAACAACAACAACAACAACAACAACAACAACAGCAGCATCAACAGCAGCAGCATCAACAACAACAACAACAACAACAACAACAACAACAACTTCAACAGCATCAGCATCAACAACAACAACAACCATTATTTACCTTTGGTGCACAATCACCATCATCACAGAATTTTTTACCTACAATTGAAGAAGTTGGAGATGGCGATAATCCAATGTTCATGTCAAATGGAAATGGTCAACTAGCATTAGTACCGGGTCCCGGTCCGGGTCCGGGTCAAAGTCCAGGACAACGTGGTCTAGGACAGCAAGCCCAATCAACGGATATACAAATGACTGGATCATTTGTATCTCAAATAGATAGTTTTTTCCAACAACAATCAACTGGATGGATGGATAATCAAGACGATGATTTCCTAGGGTGGTTTGATGTTAGCATGTTACCTGATCAATGAAATAAAGGAACTCTCTTTTACCCTACTCTTTGTTTCATATATGTACATATTCAGTATTATCTCCTTAATTGTATACATATACGTCATTCACGTGATATAGTCACGTGAATGACGTTGATTGACTCCTTTTTCCTTTTTGGTTTCTGACTCTTGCCCCTTTCGATTGCTGAATTTTTCAGGGATGGATATTGATCAAGAATAGAATAAGTTTGATTAGTTTATTCTTTATTGATCAAGTTTTTCTTTACTCTTTTCTCTAACCCAGCTAATTGAAGTATGATCTCTCGAGTGTCTGTCATTAGAAAGTGTTTTGTTTCTACGCCATATGTTGGCCCTAGATTTAGACCTATTCAACAGTTGAGATTTGTCTCATTTAAACAAGTGGATCAACCAAGAATAAGAATTGGTTCCATTGCTCCAAATTTCAAAGTAGACACTACAAAGGGCCCAATTGACTTCCATGAGTATATAGGTGACAGTTGGGTTATTTTGTTTAGTCACCCGGCTGATTACACTCCAGTGTGCACCACTGAATTGGGAGCCTTTTCGAATTTAAAGCCTGAGTTTGATAAACGCGGGGTCAAATTGATTGGGTTATCCACTGAGGGAGTGGATAGTCATAAAGGTTGGATTAAGGATATTGAGGAGGTTCAAACTAATGGTAAAGAGTTCCTGTTTCCTATTATTGCCGATGGTAAGAGAGAAGTTGCTTACAAGTATGATATGGTGACTGAAGAAGATTTCGGGGCATTGGAGCAAGGGAAAACAGTGGCAACCATTAGATCAGTTTACATTATAGATCCGTTAAAGAAAATCCGTTTGATTATGACTTATCCTGCAAGTACTGGTCGTAACACACTGGAAGTATTGAGAGTTATTGATGCTTTGCAGTTGAGTGATGCAAAGGGTGTTGCTACTCCTGTGGACTGGACTGTTGGCAAAGAAGTCATTATCCCACCAACAGTTAGTGATGAGGATGCAAAGGCGAAATTTGGTGATTTTAGAAAAGTTAAGCCATATTTAAGATTTACAAAAGTTTAATTCCAATACCAACACTAACACTAACACTAACAACGAGTAGTAATATTATGTTCTTTCCTTTTTCCTTTTTTTTTTTTTCTTTTTCCCCTTTCTTCCTTCCTTCCTTCCTCAATCTAATGGGAGGATATTTGGAACTGGACCTAAAGGTGTGATACCGTATGGATTGATTTTGACGTGTGATTTAGTATAGTGTTTTTTAATATGATCGAAATTTGTTGTTTCTTGAAAACCTGGGATTTTCCAATACAACAACCTAAGCCAATTATGGATATAGGGATATTCAGTTCTAATCATACCAATATTACATTTAAAATGTTGCACATAAACTGGATCAAATCTTACGATTGTGGTAAATAATCGAACATCGGCTTCGGTTAAAGTATTGCCCAATAAAAATTCACTCTTCTTTTTGTTTCCTTCACCAGAATGGTTTTCCTTTAGTAACTTTTCGACTTTGTCCAAGTGTTTAAATACATTTGTGCATTCTCTTTCATAAACTTCTTGTTTTGAAGCAAATCCAGTTTTGTAGACTCCGTTGTTAATATTATCATAAACCCAACCGTTTAGTTCATCAATCTTTGACTCCAAGTCTTTTGGAACAAGATTCACGTGAGAGTATTCACTGGGCAATATACTGTTGAATTCGAAATTCAACATTCTGATGATTTCGGCAGACTCATTATTAACTATGGTTTCTTCCTTTTTATCCCATAATATAGGAACCGTGAATCTACCGTTGTAGTTTGGATCTGCTTTATAGTATAGTTCACTAAGACGCGAGAGTCCATAAAGGTGATCTGGCGTTCCTAAGGAATCATCACTGGTACCGGTGCTGCTGCTGCTGCTGCTATTGACCTTGTTGCTTGGCTTTGAAGAGGCTAATTCTTCGCTTGTGGGGAATCTCCATCCCTTGTCATCCATATGCCAATGAACTATTGATAATCCAATAATTGAAGTTAAGCCTTTGAGACGGCGAGTGATCAAAGTGCGATGAGCCCATGGACATGCATATGAGACATACAAATGGTACCTATTAATCTCCGGAGGGAACCGCGCACCTGGTTTGCTACTAATGAAGTCTCTAAACGATGATGGTCTTCTTTTGTATTGTCCATCTTCACCTGCAAATTTCAAAATCTCGATTTTCTAGTTGAAACCTTGTTAGTATGGGGGGAAAAAACAAGTGTGGGAAATATGGGGGGAAACATACATCAGTCATTGTATATGCCGTTGGGAAAGGGGTAGAAGGGTAGAAGGGTAGAAGGGTAAAAGGGTAGAAGGGTAGAAGGGTAGAAGGGTATTTGCGTTGGGGGAGGGTATTAGTAATTAACTTGAAGGACAAGAGATAAGAATAAGACAAGAGATAAAACTGAGTTCAATTGAATAAATTGAATAAGCTGTGTTGAGATAAAACTGAGTTCAATTGAATAAATTTGAACAAGATTGAATAAGTTGTGTTGATTACTTATTTGTTACTTGTGCTAATACAAGAGTATACTAGGAACAAATAGATTGCTATATATAGAATGCTTTGAGAAATGTATATAGAAAGAGTGATTCTAATAAACGGTTACTAAACTAGTGCTAAATTAGTGCTTGAATAAGGATAGTACTTACATATGAATAAGGATAATACTTACATAAGAGTAATGTGTAATACTTACGTAAGAACCATACTAGTTACTAATTTACTTATTACCGCGAGCAACATAAAGTATCAGAGCAATCTTAAACTTGGTAGCTTCATGCAAGTTTATGTTTTACATTTAGTAGCTAGACTATAGACTATTGAGCAAAGCTATACTATCGAGCAAAGCTATAGTCTATACCTACTATCTCTACAGCTATACCTGATCTCTATAGACTATTCAGCAAAGCTATAGATTATAGACTATCCAGCAAAGCTATAGTCTATACCTACTCTCTCTATAGATTATAGACTAACGAGCAAAGGGAGATAGTATATACCTACTCTCTCTATAGATTATAGACTATCGAGCAAAGCGAGATAGTCTATGCCTACTCTCTCTATAGACTATCCAGCAAAGCTATAGTCTATACCTACTCTCTCTATAGATTATAGACTAACGAGCAAAGGGAGATAGTATATGCCTACTCTCTCAATAGACTATCGAGCAAAGATACAGCTATACCTACTCTCTCTACAGCTATACCTACTCTCTTCATCTACTAACTCTATCTACTCTCTATAGACTATCCAACAAAGCTATAGACTATCCAGCAAAGCTACGTACTATCCAGCAAAGCGAGATAGTCTATGCCTACTCTCTCTATAGACTATCCAACAAAGCTATAGACTATCGAGCAAAGCTACGTACTATCCAGCAAAGTGAGATAGTCTATGCCTACTCTCTCTATAGACTATCCAACAAAGCTATAGACTATCGAGCAAAGCTACGTACTATCCAGCAAAGTGAGATAGTCTATGCCTACTCTCTCTATAGACTATCCAGCAAAGCTATAGACTATCGAGCAAAGCTACGTACTATCCAGCAAAGTGAGATAGTCTATGCCTACTCTCTCTATAGACTATCCAGCAAAGCTATAGACTATCGAGCAAAGCTACGTACTATCCAGCAAAGTGAGATAATCTATACCTACTCTCTCTATCTACTCCCTATAGATTATCTCGCTTTACTCAATAGTCTATCTACTCCCTATAGACTATCTCGCTTCGCTCGATAGTCTATTGCTTTACTCAATAGTCTATTGCTTTACTCAATAGTCTATCGCTTCGCTCGATAGTCTATAAGATATTGTCTATTTCTTTTTTTTCTGGCATAACAATGGTATAAGGCCATCCCACGAAAAAAATAGTACATTAGAAATTGAATAAACAAAAGGTGCAAATTTGAACTTTTTTACATCAAAAGTTGAAAGTTTCCCTTTTACTTTTCAATCCTCAACTTGAGCGGCTTGAGGTTTGACTTTTTTTTGCAACCTTTTCACTTGGAATCCAAACCCTATAAACTACAATTATAGTTGCCCCCCCCTCCTTCCCCCCCACTTCTCACATGGCACTAGGTAAACGCACAAATGAGGCTATCGGTGACGATACAGAAAAACCGAAAAAAAAGACAACATTATCAACCTCAACAGCAACAACAACAGCAACAACTCGCAAATTGCCACCATTAGCAAGCTTGCAATCGGTATATCGAAGCGATTATCAACCGTTTACAACTTTTCTACCTTATGAACCGGCTTTCAGAGATAATCACAATCACACTAGTCAAGCTTCAAACCTGGATATTTCAACTTCAAAGGACGCTGCAGAATTGAAAAACAAGTCAAAGCTAAAGCATAAACAGAAACAAAAGCACAACAAACACAATTTGGAGCATCAACATCAACATGAACATGAACTAGACCTAAATCTTGATTTGGACTTGGAGCGTGAGGATAAACTAACACAGCTTGCTTCTGGAAACATCAAAGAAACGTCACCGCCTCTACCTCCGTCTCCACCTTCTTTAGAATCGTCAATCAATAAGTTTAAAGCATCACCACCGTCCACAGCAGCAACATCAACAACATCAACAACAACAATGCCAACAACATCTGCATCTGCAACAACAGCAGCAGCACTAGCTGCTGCCGCTGCTGCGGCGGCGGCGGCGGCGGCAACAGCAAGTAACAAAACTTCCACGTCTCAAGTGAAAAGAGCTATTTCTGCTGTGAATAAAAAAATCAAGCCATACACATGTACATTCCCAAATTGCGAATGGTCGTTTGCTAGACAATCAGACTTAACACGCCATGTCAAATCACATGCTGCCCCACAATACCATTGTCCCTACTGGAAAAACGACCCTACTTGTCACAAGAATTTCGGTGCTTTTAATAGGTTAGACGTTTTGAAAAGACATTTAAAATTGGTCCATTACGTTAAAGACAAACAACCATCAATTGATGGTAGAGACCCACTGCTTGACAGTAACAGCAACAGGGGGGGGATCAATAAATCATTAGAAGACCCCGGTTGGTGCAGAGCTTGTCAACGTATGTTCCCCAACTCCAAAGCGTTTGTAGAACATTGTCATGATTGCGCCCAGAATACAACTCCAGCAGAGTGGATAGATAATAAACGCATTTTTGCCAATTCCGTTGAAGAAGGAAACGCCCAACACCATCAGAATACATTTAGAGTTATATTGAATCCGAAAATTGAGCTGCAAAAATCACAAAAGACACAAAGATCACAAAGATCACCAAACAGAGTACTAGCCAAAGCAGAGTAGGTAAGAGAAAAGAACTAAAAAAAGCACCAATGAGAATCAATATCTAAAGAATAAAGATAAAAACTCAAATAAAAACTCAAAAAAAAAAAAAAAGAAAATCAATTGATTAATACACAGATGATGAAGGAAGCATACACGGCTCCATTTTTTTCCTCACAAAAGTAAATTCAAGCGCTGAAGTGTTAACCGTGTAGTGATGATGGGTGGTGAAATGGATTAGGTTGACTCAATGTCTTCGCCTTCTCTTTCAAAGAAATCCAAAATTGCACAATTTGGATGAATTATATAAACCGTGTTAGTTTTGGAACCTACACTTTCTGGCATTGAATCCAGGTCATTATTAGACACACTCATCAAAATTTTGTCCTTGACTAATCTCTTTAGCACTTTATATGCTGTTTTCCTCTCCAGTAAATATTCAGCTTCGCTAGACAAATCATCTTCTTTTTGTAGTAAGTACCAGTCTACCAACTCATCAGCAGTTAGTCCATCACCGCCAGCTTTGTCATCTTCTGATATCTTCTTGACTAGTAAGTTCATAATTGAAACGTACTTATCATAAGTAATGGAAACAGGTTGGACTCTTTGAGGTACAGATGGTCTTTCGCTTTCTAAAATCTCCTCTTCTCGCTTTTCCTCTTCTCCCTCGGCAGTTTCTTCATCTCCTTCAACCTCAATATCTTCCATTTCAACCCTTATGATGGACTGTTTCAATAGGTCATATGCCTCTGCAACAAAACTAGGAGTAATTTCCTCAGTACAGTTAGCTCTAGCAATAGCCTCCGACAATCGAATCATAGACTCTAACTGTCTTACGGTTATTCTATACGATGAACGACCTAATCCCTGTGCATCATCCTCTCTCAATTCCTTATATCTTGTCACAAGGAAATCTCGAGCTTCTTTTGTCATTTTCGGTTTAAACGTTTTAGCATACTTGATATACCTAGACAATTGCTCAGCTGAATAAGGTGGATTGATGGCATCATCTCTCAACATGTGTAAATCAACAATATGTGATGCTAATTGGGTATCAACCCTCTCATTGCAATCATCCAATATCACAAAGAACAAGTCAAATCTAGACATGATTGGGGCAGTCATATTCAAATTTGATCTTAATCCAATCTTTCTATTATATCTTCCTCCAATGGGATTTGCTGCTGCCAAAATCGAAGTTCGTGCATTTAGAGTGGCATGAATACCCGCTTTTGCAATAGAAATTGTTTGTTGCTCCATGGCTTCATGAATGGCAACTTGATCAGCAATATCCATCTTGTCGAACTCATCAATGGCGCAAATACCATTATCAGCTAACATCAAAGCACCAGCTTCAATTGTATACTCTCCGCTTTCTTCATCCTTGACCACTGCTGCAGTTAATCCTGCTGCAGTTGATGCTTTACCTGAGGTATAAACAGCACGGGGACTGAAACCACACACATATTTCAAAAATTGCGATTTTGAAGTTGAGGGATCTCCAACAACACAAATATTTATATCTCCTCGCAAATTTATACCATCAACTGTTTGCTTATGAACACCACCTAAAAGTTGCAAAAGAATTCCCTTTTTAATAACTTCATGACCGAATACTGCAGGAGCTATAGACTTGACTAATTTATCATAAATGTAATCATCCTTGACCATATCCTTCAACTCATTGACATCAGCGTCACTTAATGATGTAAGAAAGATTTCTTGATTGGTGAGATCAGTCTCTAATTCATTAGCGCCGCCAGCTTTATTTATCATTGAACTTACATGGCAAGCATTAAATGCCAATTTATAGGTCAAATCTCTTACACCTAATGACTTCAATCCAGTAACTCCCGAGTTCAATTCAGAGCCTCTATTTTCTTTGATAGATTGTGGTTTCACCCCAGGTAAGCCCAATTGAGAAACGTCGGGAATAACAATTTCGCACCCAGTAAATTTACACTTGTCACCAGGTTTAGCTCTCTCAACGGTTTCACCACGCAAGATAACATCCAAAGTACGAGGCATTGAACCAGTAGGAATCTCGTTTGAGTTCTCTTGAATTCTTACCCTTTGCCAATCAATAAACTGGGACTTGGACATATTTAGTGTAAAGTATGATTGATTTTCGCATGAAGGGCAAGATGTTGGCTCGGTGTATTTAAAAACTTGCTCAACACCTTCAATCATTGCCGAACACATATCACACGTGAAGCAAGCACGATACAATTCTGGTCTAACTTCCGATGTTCTTGTTACTGTACCAGATATCGTCAACAAAGATCCGATTTTATTAGACTTTATATCTCTAATTCTTTGTACTGTGGGCATATTAAAGAATGAAATTTGAAAAACACGTTCATTTGCTGTATGCGACATTGTTGACGAGGCGCCTTCACTAAGCCCTTCTTCCTCGTTATTATTGTTGTTGTTGTTGTTATTGTTGTCATTATTGGTATCACCAAGCAAACTTGTGTAAAGAAGAGTTGGAGCGTATTTTTTCAATAATCTTTTTAACCCATTCAATAAAAAGGGGTAGAACCGATAATATTGTTCGGAAATAGCAGTTGCTAAAACACCGTTTTCTCTTGATAACAAGTCCTGATAGTTTACATATAGCGTGCTATACTCATAAGTTTTCATTGATTCGATTTGCGCCAAATAGACTTTTCCCTGCCAATGGTTGTTTACCTCTTCTTCATCAACAAACTCTTCAACAAAGTTCTCAAAACTCTCTCGGACTTTCTCACCAGTAACGTCAACAACTTTCGGCACGGCAATTTGTCTTCGTCTACCAGCTATTGCTTTGTTTCCCAAGGCAATGGGTGTTGGTCCATTGTTGTCTGAGAATATTAAAGGTTGAGATGGCGTTGAAATATCACGGCCATACGAGGAGGAAATTTGCGAGTTCAACAAATGGGCTGCTTCCGAAGGAAGAGGAGCCGGTGATGATACAAATTGTGACATGAGTTCGGTGGTAGATGGTGGCAATGGTCTCCTCTTGAACAACCTCTTTTTCTTTTTCTTATTCTTCTTATTCTTCTTATTCTTCTTTTCCTTCCTTGACTCTTTTTTATATCTACACTCTTTGATCCCAAACGCGTGTAATAATTCGTTTTGGGTTAAATTGAAAAATTTAGCCCAAAACGGAAAAAATTATTCTTACCTACAAATCCCATCGCGTCTAGAGCTCCGATGCATTGGATAATTACTCTCGTTGACAAGTGAAAAATCAGGAAACACTGTAGATTACGGTGAAAATCAGGAAACACTGTAGATTACGGTGAAAATCAGGAAACACTGTAGATTACGGTGAAAATCAGGAAACACTGTAGATTACGGTGAAAATCAGGAAACACTGTAGATTACGGTGAAAATCAGGAAACACTGTAGATTACGGTAAAAACTAGGAAACACTGTGGTTGTAGATTACGGTGAAAACCAGGAAACACTGTGGTTGTAGATTACGGTGCAAAGCTAGGACGAATGATTCGGCAATTATTAAAAAGGGTAACCTACAGTACTACCGCAACCTACAGTACTACCGCAACCTACAGTACTACCGCAACATGTATGAAAACCATCACCAAATAATTAATTTTGTTTGTTTAATATAAAACCTATTTTTTTGTATCTTACTAACATTAGAGGTTGAATTTTTTTGTTTTTGTAGATTCACCATCATATCTCAAATTGCAAGTTGGATTGATTCAGAGGTGCAAAAGACACGAGAAAACAGATAATCTATATATATCGGATATCGATATCAACAAGGGGGATACGATTCAAGTATGTTCTGGTTTAGTACCGTATGTTCCAATCGAACAAATGTTGCTAAAAAGAGTAGTAGTGATTACCAATATGAAGAGTAGGAAATTGAAGGGAGAAGTATCCCAGGGCATGATTTTGGCTGCGGAAAAAGTTGTTGACGAAAAAACAAAAACGGTTGTTGTTGAACCTGTAGAACCACCTAAAAGTTCAGTAATTGGTGAACGATTATATTTCGACAAAGAGGATAGAGATTTTGAGCCACCAAAGTTGAAAGAAAAAGTTTGGGCGTATTTGCAGCCAAAGTTGGGCACCAATGAAGATAAGCAAGTTGTATTTGAAAATAAGACTTTGCTTCGAGGAGAAAACAGAGATGACTTTGCTTCTGTATGCACTCTAGAAAACGCAATAATTAAATAAGAGAGAAGGAGAAAGAAATGGGAAAAACTTACAAACTTAGTTAAGAAAAAGGCAAGAGAAAACTCTCGACACACAAATTTGATCTTTCTTACTGATTTGATCTCTCATAAATTTGATCTCTCTTACAGATTTGATCTCTTACAGATTTGATCTCCCACAAATTTGATCTCCCACAAATTTGATCCTTCACAAATTTGATCTCTCACAAATTTGATCTTTCTCACAGATTTGATCTCTTTTTTTTTAAAGTTTTTTTTTCCCCCTACCCCATAAGTGTTTGACCCCTACTCTGTCTCTTTACTTCCAAAACGCGTCTTCTCTATCATCCACAAAAAGCCTACCTCTCTACTTGATCTCTTTATTTTCTACTTTTATCGTGTAAATCAAAAGCAAATAATATTCTACAATTTTGAGTTTTCGCAGTTAAAGAAAAATGAAAACAAAAAAAAAAAAAAAAAAAAAAAAAAAAAAAAAAAAAAAAAAAAAATTAAAAAAATANAAAAAAAAAAAAAAAAAAAAAAAAAAAAAAAAAAAAAGAAAAAGAAAAAGAAAAATAATTATAAATATAAATTAGCGATTTTTTATCTCGTGAATTTCAATCAGTTTGTTTCAACATATGTGTTACCAGCAAAAGTGGAAAGAAAATGAGAGGTATGTTTTGGAGAAAATTGAGTTTGTTTCACTTAGTTTACTAACTCTATAGGGTCCAGATTATAAAATTGTGGTATTAGGGGCTGGTGGTGTGGGAAAATCTTCCATTACTGTTCAGTTTGTACAAGGTGTTTACATTGAAAGCTACGATCCGACTATTGAGGACTCTTATAGAAAGCAAATCGAAGTTGATGGTCGTGCATGTGATTTGGAGATTTTAGATACCGCTGGTGTAGCGCAATTTACAGCTATGAGGGAGTTATATATCAAGAGTGGGAAAGGTTTTTTATTAGTTTACTCAGTTACTGATGAAAATTCTTTAAAAGAATTGTTAGCCTTACGAGAGCAAGTTTTACGAATCAAAGATTGCGAAACTGTTCCCATGGTATTAGTTGGAAACAAATGCGATTTAGAAGAAGATAGAGTTTTAAGCATAGAAGACGGTGTACAAGTGAGTCAAGATTGGGGGCTTGTGCCATTTTACGAAACAAGTGCCATGTACAAGACAAATGTCGATGAAGCGTTTATTGATGTTGTAAGGCAAATCATGAGGAACGAAGCAGCTATTAGTGTTGAAAAGAAGATTTTAAAAGAAAAACACAAATTAGAACAAGCACAAGCACAAGAAAGTCAAAAATCAAATTTAACATATTCGGAAACGACTACTACTCAACAGTATGGCGGTAATGAAAATCCAAATACCCAACTAAACTCGGCTGCAGCACCTCCTGCCACCACTCTCACTGGCAGGTTTACACAATTGAGTGGTGTTAATTCATCAAAATCGAGCTCTGGAAATAAATGTTGCACTATTATGTGAAGTAAAAATAGAAAAGACCCCCTCCCCCTCCCCTTCTTCCCCCCTAAGTTAGAGTGTAGAGTATACAAAAATTTTATAACAAACATTGCTAATGTATAATTGTCAACTATTTTGTATTTCTTGATTTCTTTTTTTTTTTTTGGCTATTTTTAAATGTACGTGAGAAAGTTGAGGAGTAACTATTTGTCATCTTTTTGAAAAACATTGTAAATCTCAGAAATTGATTTGATGGCCGAGCTGGTTTAAGGCGTCAGGGTAAGGTTGATATCTTTACCATATATTCCTGATCTCTTCGGAGGCGCGAGTTCGAATCTCGTTCAAATCAATATTTTTTTGCAATTTTTTTCTTCTTTTTTTCGCAACCTTTATCTTTTGCAACTTTAGTTCGTGAGGAAACAAAGACAGCCCTAGTTACTTCCAAGTTGTTGGAAAATTCAACAAAGTTTATATTATGTGTCAACAGGGTGGTATTGATATAAACCTTGCTAATCTTCTCTCTTTCTTATCTGTAACTTTGCAGAGGAGTTCAATATACAAAATTTGAAAAAATACTACAAAGTGTCGGGGGCAGCTTGTGTGCTCAATAGTTTTTTTTTCTTTTTGTTTTTTTTTTGGCAAAAATTTGAATTGAAATTATACCCTATACATGTTTCGTTAGGGAATGGATGTTTGAGTTGATTGTTCATAGTAGGGATGTATCTACACTTGAGAAGCAACCTTCTCAAGATTCACAGATTTACGTAAATACAAGATTATTACCCGTCTCCCTCTATTTTTTCTCTGCCAGAACACTAAATTTCCCTATTAACCCCATTAAAAGAAAGGTGATTCTTTTGGGCATTCTATAATAATAATTGTACTTTATCAGTATAAACAGCCAAGATCTGAATGGCACCATAGCCAACTAGACATTTTCTGCTTCTTACAAATAATAGTCTCACTCATAATTCATTTTACTAATCGCAAAGTATACTTTGTTTACCTTGACCTTTTTTCTTCCCCACACTAAGCGAAAACAATAGTAGATTATCCTTGATTGATCTAAAAGGATATTCAACGCCATTCATATTGAAACAATTCACTTCACTATCGAGCGAAGCGAGATAGTGGAGCAGGACTGAATGCACCGCGACACTATCGACATTATCGAGTAAAGCGAGATAGTGGAGCAACACTGAATACACCGCGACAAGGTGATCATATTGGCCAATACCCAACTTTTGAAATCAAATCTTGAAGAGACCTTGCTCTTCAACTCTTTGTCATCTACTATCCTGACTAAGCATACACACCAAACCCGAATGATATCACTACTGCAACCCAAATGATACTGCAACTCCAACCCAAATGCTATCACAGCGAGCCCGCCCGACCCCCCCAAAAAATGTATGGCGCCAGCCTTTTGTAGAAAAGATGAGATGATGAAAAGAGTTTTATACTAATAAATTATCTTGAGATTTACAATTTACGTATACTATACAGGGTTTAAATAAACCACTTTACCAAGTGGATGGACCAAATGCCTCACCATCCTTAAGCTTTATCCTTATGTTGATACTAGCTCCAGTTTTGTTAACTGCACTATCAAGAGTTTTGCCAACAACGTCATTGCCCCACCAAGCAGGGAACTTGGTGCTGGTCAACCCCAATGCCAATGATATAATTAACATACTCCAAGCTAAACCAATGTCCAAACCAGCAGATAAGGAATAGTTGTATTTTGTCCACCAGTGGAAAAACTTCTTCTTAATGAACCATCCGAAGAATAAACCAACCAAACAATAGGAAGTATAGTTGTAAGGAGTAGCTGGTGGAATAAGTCCTGTTCCCGAGAAGAAAACAGGCCAATGCAAATACTTCACCATACTGTTTGGCCATTTCCTCAAAATCAACCAATTGATAATTGGAAGTCCAGCACCAACAATGAAGAAAAATAGTAACTTGTAGTACAATTGGCCAGGAGAAAACTGTCGTTGTGGACCAATTGCACCCCAAATAATACTGGCTGTAAAGAATACTCTTGCACCGGGACAATCGAAGCCGGACCCTTGACCTGGTTTACACAAGTTTTCGACTGCTCCGTAAGACCACCTCATGACGGCAATTTGAACAAAACAGGACCAGATTGCTGCAATAAATTGGGAAAAAAACAAGTTTTTTGGTGAGATTTTCATGTAATGACCCAATTTCATATCTTGAGCAAATGTGACGGCTTGATTGTTGGTGATGTATCCGAAAGTTTTGAAAAACATCATGGCTATTGGTTTTCCGGGAACCATATAACCGATAATAAACTCTGTTATAACGTTAAGACCCACTGCAATGTTTGTTCGTGCGTAAATGATTGAAACCGGTAACAAAAAGACTAATGCAATAACGAGAGCCACAACCAAGGACCAAATAGGCATCTCGGTATTCCAAACTCTGACGGTGACAATGGACAAGGCAAAGAATATCAAGAATGAAATGAGGAACCACCATTCAGGCACTCTTTTGTAACGCGACATTAATCTATTGTGTACATCGGGTGTTTCCTTACATTTAAACTGCTCAATGATTTCTTTACCGTGAAATAAAATGGTATGAACAATAGTCGCAGTAGTCGAGGCGAATGATAAACCGTAGGATATTGCAAAAGTTGTTGACAAGAATAAAGGTGAATATTTTTTATATTCGGCATCATTGAAAGTCAAATCCTTATTAACAATTCTGCTAACTTGATAATTATCTTGAAATCTATCAAAGGATCCTGATGATGAGATTGGCAAGTAATCGCCATACCAAGTGTTTGTAAATGAAATAGCGGGAACTATAGCCCAGAAAACGATAATAATGGAAAGGGAAATTGTTGCAAGTGTACCAGCTGGTGGAATCAATGGTGATCCGACGTAGCCGGCAATTTGATTCCAATCCAAAGCTATACTATTTGGCAACATGCCCAATCCAGTTTGAGAACCAAAGATTTGGTTGATAATGGGGCTTTTTGGTTTAATCCAAGTGATCCATGAAAAATTGGATAAAGCCGCAAACATGTAACCTGGAATCCAGTAGTAAATGAACCCCACAATAAAAACAATCAAGAAAAACCAAAGACGTGAGATGTGCCATCCATTAGCAGGGTGATTTTCGTTAATGTGCATATTCGTCAAAAATGTACAAGTGACCAAATTCTGGGGCCAAATTGCAGAGGGACTATCAACAACAAATTTTCTGATAAGTCCACCCATTGAGAAACCAATCATATTTGTAGAAAGAATGGCCACGATAGCGAAACCAACACCGAAATCGACATTGTAAAATTTATTCATGGAAACTAATATATCCGTAGCATAAGCGGCACCACCATTGAAGGAGGCATTTGCCATGATTGTAATCACAGCATGCTCTTTGAGATTGAATGGACCAGGGTTCAAAGGGAGACCAAAAATTTTCCAATTTGGAATACACCAAGCCCAAAATCTACCAAAAGGATATGCTAAAATGGATGTAACCATAGTGGTAATTGTAATTGTTGGCGAGTGAAGCGAGAAATACATATTCATGGCTGATCCAATAGTTGTTAAAATCAAACCTAACGTCCATGCTCTGATAGTTGCTTGTGGCATTTCAAAATCATCGGTACTAGGCACTGCTGCTCTAACTTCAGGATAAGGAGAATCATCTTCTACATGAATACCTGCATATTCATCTTCAATAATCTCATTCATCAAATGGGAAGTGACTGGATCAAATTCTTGTGATTTTGAGGCTATCAAGTTTAAGTTCGGTACTTTTATGTCTGCTTCAAAATCTTGATTGACAACATGTTGTTTCACCTCGGCTTCTGATTTCTCGTTGGGATTAAAGCCTTGTGTAGCACCACCATCATTGTATGAAAAGTCGCTAGAAGAGGTTTGTTCTTCGTTACCACCATTACCACCACCACCATAACGCCTTAAAGTCTTTCTTATTCTGTCCATTTTTGCTTTAGGAAGTCAAAAGAGAATAAAAAGGACCTCCAAAAGGGCAAATCAAAAGAGCAAATGAGTAGGAGCAGGAGGAGGAGGAGGAGGAGAGCAGAAGAAGAAGAAGATTAGGAGCAAAGGGAGAGGAAAGGAGGGAGGGAAAGATGTGGAAACTGGGGAAAGTTTATAATATTTTTTTTCAATAATATATGGCGTTTTGGATAACAATAGAACATTTAGATGAGTATTTTACTAATCGTTATCAATTATTAAATTTAGTGGCATGGCACTGTAACATAGTTGGTCAAAATTTTTAGAATATCAACAGCGGTTAAATGCCAGATTTTGTTCATTTTAAAAAAACAAAAAAATTGTTGTTTGTAGATGTATTGGGGGATGCTTTAGGGGGACTAAAAAAAAGAAAAGGTAAAGAATCTTAAAATGTATCGGCATTTCTGGAGCTAGTCCTTACCCAAATCTGCAAGAAAATAGAGTGAGCGAAAAACGCCAAAAGAAACAAGAGTCATCGCATTAAACTTTGTCATGTCGGATGTTCAATTTTGTTATTTTAGAAGAGAAATAAGTTTCTCCACACAAGGTGATATGTAATGAATAATTTGCGACAACGCTATTGGAAGAAGATAAACAAGCAGACTTACAGTTTACTCTTAATGGAAGTGAGAAACCCATCTCCACTTGCATTTAGGTGAAAATTTTCTTTCTTTGCAATGACGAGAAACATTTCTATATTAGCTTCAAACATAGATGGCAAATTTATGAATGAAATATTACGAGCTATCAATGATAACCTACGAAAAAACAAACAAACAAACTAACAAACAAACTAACAAACAAACAAACAACAATTATTGATTCTTTTGTGCTCTTGACATTTTTCCATTCTTTTTTTCTTACTTGTTTCATTTAGAAGAGAACGGTGCAATCAGTAGAAATTAAGTAGATTTTCAAAAATTAGACTTGTTATTTGTAGGATTTACGACTAAAATAACCCTTATTTTCACCGCCACTACAGACACCGCCACTACGGACACCACCACCACCGCTTAACCATACGGCACCAAAAGAAAGAAAATAAAATAGAGAAAATAAAATAGTCAAAAAAAAAAAATAGGATTGGAACACAAAACGCAAGTGATTAAAAAAAAATCGCCGATAACGGTAATGACGAAAATTAAAACCGGCGCTGTTTTGCATAAACTATTGTCTTATTAAAGAGAGGAAAGGAAAAAATGGGTGAGGAAAAGAAAGAGAGAAAAAGAGAGAGAAAAAGAGAGAGGAAAAGAGAGAGGAAAAGAGAGAGTGGAAGGTGAGGGAGGGAAGTATGGTCTTATGGTGAGGCTTTTGTTAGTCGTCTTGAAATTCCATAACTTCAAGATAGACAAGTTTTTTTTTTTTTGGAGCCTTAGGGCACAAACATGTGTTTTTTTTGGAAGTTACTTCGTGCCATCTACTAACGCAGCCAAATTAAACTCGTCTGATTGCTAAGTAAAGGGACAAGAGTTAAGAAATTTATCACTCTTTGCATGAACTTTTACGATAGCAAGCTATATAAAATAATTATTGACAGCTTTTCCTCAAAACTAGTAAAGGAGCTTACCTTATCTCTTTTCTTTTTCAACAAAAAAAAAACCATAGATCTGGTGGTATAGTAAGTAGTTGCATTGATGCAGTGCTAGAGGGGCTACATTGTAGGGTGTAACTTTGTTGGTGTAAACAAAAAAGAAAACCTCCTCTAATATATATATATATATATATAGAGGGTTTCGTATTAATTATTCACCATCCTCTCTTTAATAATTTCAGATCTGGCATTTATTGATTAGACAGATTTATACATAATTACACTACCCAAAAAATTAACAAAGCATACAGAGACTCAGTTTTTATTACAATCTTAATCCTGAAAGTCGTGCAAGTCATTTTGATCATGAAAGCCGTGCAAGCATTTTAATCTTCAAAACCGAGCCATTCATTTTGCTCCTCACTAATATCTTCTGTACTCTTTTCTTCATCAACCATAAGTTTGCCTCTTTTTACAAAACATGCTGCGAAAAATCCAATACCGCCATCTTCTTTCGGTTTCGCTCTTACACATCCATCAGCCAATTCTTTACATACTTTCTCGTCTCGGGATATTCTGATAAACTCACTTTCAAAACCTCTTCTTGGCCAAGTAGGAAGCACCTCTTGTCTTCTAGCCAAGGTCCAGCCTTGTTCTCGCACTTCCGGATCCAGTAACAAATCTATAACAACTCTTTCATTTTCTTCCGCATGTATGGAGCATGTGGAATAAACAACTCTTTGTGCACCAGGGAAAGACAAAGCATGTTTCATAATTACATTTTGAAAAGAAGCCAATTTCCTCAACCTCTCTTGATCTATATGAGGCTCATTAGATTTTTCTTCTTCTTCTTCTTCTTCTTCTTTTTTCCTTTTCTTTTCACCATTTAGAGCATTATCCATTGCTCTTCCGAAAATCCCAGATCCGCTACATGATGGATCCACTATTAAACCAGTCACATCAGAGAAATCCTCTGGTTGAATAGTGGTGAAATCTTTATGTATTACTTGTATCAATTTCTTCTTATTCTTGCCAGTGGCCTTTTCACACATTGTTCGTAATACCCCAACTCTCTTTGCATCTCGTTCTATAGCGTAAACCACAGCAGATGCATCATCTAGAGGAAGGTGAGATGCTGCATGGGTTGTTTTATTACCTGGAGCAGCACATGCATCAATAACTTGTTTGTGCACGTATTGATTATCCTCATTCAAGATATGTGCTGGGAAACACGAAGCTCGATCTTGTATAATGATTTCCCCCAATTTATAAGCGTCTGTTGATGAAAGTTTCTCTCTTGGATGAACGCCGTACAAGTTTGGTATATAATCATCCGAAAAAACAAGCCCAGGCTTTATAAGCTCTTCAATTCTATTTACAGGCTGCAAATCAGTGAAAAATTTATGCTTTTTGAAAAACCGTTCTTGATCTACTTTGATGGTATTTATTCTGAACCATCTCACAGGTGTTTCATCATCATTCGTATCTTCATTTACTGGCAATTGACACACAGAAGTTACTTTATATCTCAATTTAAGTTTAATAAATTCTGCCTGGAGTCTTGTCTTACACCCCAATATTGCATCTTTAATTGGATGTTTCCCACTTTCAATTCTGCCTCTCAGACTAAATAGCAAATCATGAATTATCAAAGCTAACAATTCATCACTAACTTTTACTTTCTTCTGTTTGAGTTCCTGCTTGATTTTACTCTTTTGAACAATTTGATGGATAAAGTCATAGTATTTAATCGTCGAGCATACTAATGCAAATATGTGCTTTGGAGAGTTTTTAAGCTTTGTATCGCTGAAAATACGCGATTTCAAACTTCCACCAAACTTACCGCCATCTTTGAGAAATCTCTCTGCTTCAAAGTAGAGTTTCATTCTCGATATACTCTCTAATGGTCTATTCCATGAAGCGGAAAAAGAAGAAAAAGAAAGAAAAGTTGTTCCATCTGCGCGATGAGCTTCGGAATAATAAAAGTCTATCGAGCGAAGCGAGATAGTGGAGGACACTGACTACACCGACACTATCGAGCAGAGCGAGCAGAGCGATGCTGCTCCGCTATCTATATCTTTATTCTAAAGGATGCAAGTTTCATCTCTACCATACCAAGTATAGTTGGAATATACTTTCTACTATAGTAGGAGATCTCGGCGTGTGTAAGGATCTTGGTGTAGCTACAATTTCCACCCCTCCCCCCCCAAAAAAAAAGGGATTTCTTAAATTATTCCCAAAAAGGTTTCTTAAATTACTCCCAAAGGAGTTTCTCACTGGTATTACAGGTTGGTTTCCACAGTTTCTCACAGTTTCCAAAGGCTCAGTTTAACTGGGGGCTGTACCAATGCACATTGATATTTTTTTTTTCTTTCCAATTTTATATGTACATTTTTTTTTCTTGATTATGCGCCCAGTTAATAATCTTTGAAATCAACAATCTACGGAAACTTAACCACTTAACCACGCTCGGTTTTGAGACAGACAGACAGGTGTTTGCAGGATTGGCTCCAGTTCCTCTTTGCACCATCAGTACCAGCATTAGTGTCACAATTACCCCCCAGCAATTAGCGTCACTATGCCCCAGCCAATACCACCTCCAAATGCATATACACCAGGTACAAGACTAGTTGTTGGATCACATAGAGTAAGCATAATTAAATATATATCTCAAGGTGGTTTTGCTACTGTATATACATGTCATATAGAGCCAGCGTTCCATGGCTCTAGCACAGCATGTTTGAAGAGAGTTGTTGTTCCTAGTAAATGGCAGCTAAGTTTGTTGAGACAAGAAGTCGATGCTATGCGAAGATTAAGAGGAAACAAACATATAGTATCATATATCGACTCGCATGCCTCGCGATTGGTGAATGATGATGATAATGACAATACTAACGGCGGCGGAGGCGATGCTGCAGACCTGCAGAGACAGTATGAGGTTTTGTTGTTGATGGAGTATTGCGAGAACAATGGATTAATAGACTTGATGAATACTCGTTTGGTCAATAAGTTGACGGAGAAGGAGATATTGGACATTATGTACCAGGTAACCATAGGTGTCGCAATGTGTCACCACCTAAGACCACCATTGATTCATCGAGACATTAAAATAGAAAATGTGCTAATAGATGCACACCATGTTTGCAAAGTATGTGATTTTGGATCTTCGATGAATTATATGGCACCCCCAAAGAATCCCCAGGAACTACAATTGATGAAGGATGATCTTTTGCAACACACAACTCCACAGTATAGGGCCCCAGAGATGATTGATTTGACCAAAGGGTTTCCCATTGACGACAAGCTGGACATTTGGGCATTGGGAATATTTCTCTACAAATTGTGTTATTATACTACTCCGTTTGAACTGCCCAACCAGACAACTCTTCAAGACCTAGAACGAACTATACTCAATTGCTCGGATACTTTAAGATTCAAAGACCAGCCGGGACTGATGTTTTCTACTCGATTGAAGAATGTCATCAAAGTTTGTCTACGAGCAGACCCAAGGAGACGTCCAAATGCGGTACAGTTGTTGGGAGAAATCTCACAAATGAGAGGCGATTCAAGAATACCAAATGTGATACCAGCAAGCGTCTTGGAGTCCATAAAGAGCAAACAGCAACAGCAACAACAACAGCAGCAACAGCAACAGCAGGAGAAACAACAAAACTTGAAAAGTTCTGCAACCATCACTCCTGCACATACTCAGCCACAATTGCTGTATCACAGCCAAGATACCAGAAAGCTTATTCAAACCAAACCTATTGACGCATTTGCGTCTATTGATAAAACCAAATTTTTCAATAAGATTGAGCTTAAGAATGCATCCCCATTTGAGCTGGAGCCAATCAAGACGCCATCACGTCCACTAAGTGCATATTTTGATAATGGCCACAAGTCAAAAGTGTATACTCAAGGTAATAAGTCTACACCAGCGATACAAGATCTCGTTAAGAAAGAGTTGGCAAAAGGATACAAAACTACCGATTTAGGAGAATCCGAAAACACGCTTGAGTTTTTGAAGAATAGAGAAAATGAAAGGCATGAGAACGAAAACGGTATCAAATCAGCTTGGAATAGCTTGAGGAGGTTAAGTACAGGAGGTAGCATTAGGAGAATGGGTACCGGAGGCAGTATCAGCGTAAACAATACTGGTGCTTCAGAGAGAAGGAAAAATATAAGGGAAGTAAAGACTGGAAGCAGAAAATCAACCGAAAGCGACAAATTGAAAACAACATACTCGAGTGAGGAGAAAGAAGTTCGGGTGGAAAAGGAGAGCTCAATACAGAAAAAGATGAAAGCATTATTGGATCAAAGTGAAAGACAGGTGGTGCAAAAAACAGCTCATGGATATGGAAAATTCACCGATAGAAATGTTACAGAGGATATAGACTCCATAAATGAGTCGCCTTATCAAAATCAACTTCACCATCATAATCATGATCAGAATCCTCATAAAACATCTACTCACCACCATCATAAGAAATTATCACCACCCAAAGTCCCTGTTGAATTATCCTCAAGTAGAAAATCATCAGTACCTACAAAAGTGCCCAAGCCTCAGCGTCCAGTGAAACCAAAACATTTACAACCACCAGCCAAACCGAAAAAGCCAATATATTTAAAATCACCAGAGAAGAGTAGACAACTTGAACGTAGATTAAGTACGAGCAGCGAATTATCCATTCCAGATATTGATGATTTAGAAAAACAGTTTGCTAAAAGATTTCCCAGTTACGTATAAAATTTCACTATACGTATATATATATATATGTATGTATATTACATTATTAATACAAACCTGCTTTTTTTTTTCATTCTCCTCTTGTCCCTTAATGATTCTTTTCTCTCTTTATTTCTTCTTCTTATTATTGTTTTCATCTTTTATTCTTTTCTATTTTATTCATCGGAGCTGGTATAATCTTCAATACTATCCAAGATATTGTCCACTCCTTCATCTAATTTCTCATTGATAATATCAAATAAGTTATCCGCATTGGCTTTTAAAACTCTACCAAATTTCCTTCTTGGCTTTTTCAACTCGTCACTTGAACCATTTGCATCTCCATTGGTGGCTCCACTATGAAATCCATTTGAAGAAGAAGAGGAAGAAGAGCTGTTCCAACATGAATTATAGCAACTTGTGAATATTGTTGACTTGTGATAAAACCATTCAATCATACTCTCATCCATCACTGGAACCAAAGGTTTTAGTGCAGTTCTATTCAAAAAAGCTACTGTAAATTTGACTAAATTCTTTATCTCTGACGAGGGGCGTTTGCTGAATAAGTGAATAATGCTTTGATAAGCGTCACCAAATCCAACAAATATAATTTTCTTCAACCGTTGGAAATATGCAATATAATTATCCCAAATATATAGGAGAATCTCTTGTGCAAAAATTGTAGGATTGTATGATGATTCATAAGTTGTTGATAATCCAGGAATAGGTAATTGAAAAGATGGAATATTGATATCAATATAGCCCACTTTATCGGTGTTTTCCTTGTCTTTTTCCTTGGCTACTTTATCCATTATTTGAAATAATGGCTGTTCAAGTACTATAGTTGAATTGCTTTCAATCACTCCATTTGTAGGATTTATATATGCCCAAATTTCAGGAGGATCATGTATGGTGATCACAATTGATGAACACTCGTAAATATCAGGGCTTGCTATTACGAGATCTTCAATTTGTTCGGGTAAATCGCATGTAAAATACGCATTTCTACTATCGCTTGATTTTTCATTCATTATTGGAATGGTGATGAATTGTCTTTTGTTACAAGCCTCTGCAGTTTGATAACTCCGTATTGGATCGGCTATATTGGTTAATTTATACCTATTCTTATCTAGGCCTGGGAGGTCATATATATCATCAAAGGACGTTTTGGGCACCCCATGGCTAAGACATTCCCAGTATTTCGATTGAATTTTTATAACTTCATCAATAACTTCTATGGTGTCGGGATGTGGCTGTGTTTTTATGGTGTTTTCAGGGGGCTCCCCAATGAGCACTTTTGTTACAGCCAACGCACTCTCACTTATCGCGTCCAAATTGTAGCCACCTTCCAATATCACAGCTAATTTTCCTTTGGCTATCCCCTTCAACATATGCGTCATATAACCATATCCAGCTGGACTTACATGACAACAACCAATAGGGTCACCCTCTGCTGCATCAAAACCTGAACTAACAATAACCAAATCAGGATCAAATTCAAGTATTATAGGTATAACAACTCTATTGAACGCGTAAACGTAATCTGCATCCTTGACACCAAAGCTTCTCCACGGTATATTTATATTGTAACCTTTACCAGCGCCTTCTCCAACCATATCTGCACCACCGTACTTGGTTCCAGGGTAAAACTTACCATTTTCGTAACGATGCAAGGATATGTATAGCACTCTGGGATCGTCATAAAACGATTTTTGTGTACCGTTACCATGATGAATATCCCAATCCACAATAACGATTCTTCGTACTGATTCAGGATACGATTTGAGTATATTTTTCGCAGCCACTGCAACGTTACTGAATAAACAAAACCCAGCGGGCTCATCAGGCTCTGCGTGATGTCCTGGAGGTCTAACTGCTGCAAGGGAGTTTTTCACTTTACCTTCAATGACCGCTTTGCACGCTTCAATTGTTCCACCACATGATAATTTTGCCGAGAAATAGGAGTCGTTATTGACGTATATGGAGTCACCAGCAGCAGTTTCTTTCAAAAGCTCTTCTTTTGTCATTGTTTCGGTGGCTTTTATTTGCTGCAAGAGTCTTTCTGAATGGACTTCAAAAATCTCTTCCATTGTTGCTTCCCTTATAGGGATTTTTTGAATAAACGGTCCCAATTCATCAATACCTGATAATGAAAAGTCCAGTACTAAACCTGCCTCCACCAATCTCTTGTATATCCTATATATACGACGTGGGTCCTCCGGATGTGGGTCAGTATATTCAAAATAGGATGTGAATATTTTTGCATGGTACCTCATTCGCACATCATATACAAGCCCAGTTTTCAAGGGAGTATAGAACAACTGAGGTTTTGCTGGTGGTTGCACGATTATCGGACGTGTTTGAGCGGCAGTTTTCACTACTTCGTCCAGACCCTCAGTCGACCCATTAGAAATAGATTGTCCTTCTTCTTCTCCTCCTCCTTCTCCTTCTCCTTCTCCTCCTCCTTCTCCTCCTCTTTCTTCTTCTTCCTTTACCCCAGTTTTCGTTTCAGCTTTGATTTTCTTAGTTGGCGGTTCTAAGCTGCTAGCATCAATATGAGAGGAAAAGTTTGAATTTTCCTCTCGAAATTTCGATTTTTCCGTTAGCAGTAGACCTCTACCTCTATCATCATCATTTTCTTCCAACTTTACCTCAATGTCCTTCACATCTATACCGTTATCAGCTTGATCCGGAAGTTCCTGTTGAATCCCTATATCTTCCAGTGGCGTAGGCTCGACCGCAACCGCAACCGCTGGCTCTTTACTTGATTCTATTTTAATATCTTGCTGCGCGGCAGAATCTTGATGCAGAACTAAAACGACATCATCACGAGAAATCACTTTATCTTCCGGCTCTAACATTTCTTCCTTTTTTTGTTTTTTTTTTGACACAGTCCAGTTGAGACTTTACTCAAACCATATAGCAATACTCTGTGCACCAATGTATCGCCTTTAGACGTATAAATTCGGTGTATCTTCCGAAGCTCTTTTAAAAGCCAATTGGGTAAAGGTTGAAAAAAAAAGAAAAAGAAAAGAAAAAAGAAAATACGGTACGAGAATTTGGTTGTAGAGTGAAAAAAAAAGACACAACGTTGACAATGTCGTGACACTTTTACTAAAAGTGTCACGACATTTGTCACGAAGTCTACACTTTAAGTTAATAAAGAGACTGATATAAATTAATAGAGATTAAGATAAATTAGAGTAGAATTGAGATAAATTAGAGTAGAATTGAGATAAATTAGAGTAAAATTGAGATAAATTAGAGTAGAATTGTGAAAATTAGAGTAGAATTGTGAAAATTAGAGTAGAATTGGGAAGATTAGAGTAGAATTGTGAAAATTAGAGTAGAATTGGGAAAATTAGGGTAGAATTGAGATAAATAAAGTAGAAATTGGAGTAGACAACTGAGATTAGAGTAGAGAATCAAAGTAGAGTTGACTCTTTTCAAGAAACGTTCATTTGAGACGTTTGCTTTTTTATTACTTTGAAACAGAGCTATAAAGAAGAAGCTTTTTAACTCATCTCTCATAGATTAATCTTTTTTTTCTAGTGTTGCATTGATCAATAGTGAGTTTGATATAGTGCATAAAAGAAACAATTAGAATTTGGGACAAGCAAATGGAGATAGCCACTACTTTGGGACACGACACTATCGACACTATCGAGCAGAGCGAGATAGTGTTATAGCAAGCTAGTCACGACACTATCGACACTATCGCGCTCTGCTCGATAGTGTTATAGCAAGCTAGTCAGAGTAACAAACTGATAAGTATGACTCCACTATCTCGTCTCGCTCGATAGTGTTATAGCAAGCTAGTCACGACACTATCGAGCAGAGCGAGATAGTGGAGCACACTGACTACATCGACACTATCGACACTATCGCGCTCTGCTCGATAGTGTTATAGCAAGCTAGTCAGAGTAACAAACTGATAAGTATGACTCCACTATCGACACTATCTCGCTCTGCTCGATAGTGTTATAACAAGCTAGTCAGAGTAACAGTGAGCAGAGTGCCAAGTGCTGCTCCACTATCTCGTTCTGCTCGATAGTGTCAGTGAGCAGAGTGGCCAAGTGCTGCTCCACTATCTCCCTGTGCTTGCCAAATGGGCCTTTGCATTTATCCATATATTTACCTATTTAGGCACATAATGCGGCGTCTAACCTCATCTTACCAAAAAAAAAAATTGAAAAATTCCAATACCCCCAATCTCATCGAAACCAAAAAGAACCTCTGTACCCTTCATTACACCTCCCCTTGACCCTCCCTCACTGTCCCCTCACTGTGTCCTATACGAGGCACACAATCTATTCTTATACGCATTTTGCAGAATGTCGACAAAAACAGCAAGGTCGAGCCTAGAGAACAATAATGAGACAGGAAGAGCTAAACGGGTAAAACCGTCGCCCAAAACCAATCCCGTTAATGAAGAAACTCAATTGTCTGAGTGCTTCAAAAAAGTATCTACATCACTTTATGTCTCACTTTCACCCTTGTTTGTAAATAATGCTGTTAACGGGATCAAACAGCAACACCTTGATCCCCTTGTAATGACCTATTACCCTAAGGTCAAGGGTGTAATAATAGCTTATTCAAATATTAGACTAATGACACAATACGACTCGGAGAAACAAGCTTACATAGCCAAGGTAGAAGGATCTTCCCCATTTACTTTCTTTTGGGTCCATGTTGATTTTCTTGTCTGGAGTCCTTGCATAGGCGATGTTTTAGAAGGTGATATTTACATGCAAACTCCGTCACACATTGGTTTGTTGATATGTGATGTGTTCAATGCCTCTATAAAGAAGTACAATATCCCCCAAGACTGGGAATTCAAACCTGTGCAACAAGATGAATATACGAGTGGCGGAGAAGAAAGCGATAAGAAGATTGGGCATTGGATGGATAAAGACGGGAATAAAATAGATAACACCAAATTGAAATTCACAGTTAAGGCAGTTTACACCACAAGTAGAGTAATTCACATTGAAGGAACTTTGATCAAGCCCGACGAGGAAAGGCTTTCGCAACCTTTTTATAATAAAGAAAGCAAGCCCAAGGCAAGTTTGGGTAAGCATAAGAAGTTTGACAAGGAAGACGGCGAGAATGAACTAGAAAATGAACAAGAAAATGTGATTGAGATAGAAGAACCCAAGAAAGATGATATTTTGCCTAGTTATCTAAATGATACCGATACTAATGAAGATGAAGACTACAAAGTGGTAAATAATTCAGATTTCGTTGAGGACAAAGTAGAGTCCGATTGAAAAGTATAGTACAGACTTGTCTCAAAATTGATAGAATATATATATATATATATACATACATACACGTGAATCTATTTTCTAGATTTATCATCATTGATCATTTTCCAAATTAAATCCTTTTCACTCTTGTTTGGCCAATGGTATTTTTTCTTTCTATACGACCCCGAGCCAAAGAACAATTTATGCAAGAATGACGAGTCTCTATTAATTGTAGATTTATATGGTGTTATTACTTTCTTTTTTGGATTACTGTTGGTGCCCAAAATGGTTAGTTTTTGAACCTTGTGTAATTTTTTAAAGTTGAACCATGTAAATACCATTCCTTGGAGTATGGAGAACACAACAACTGCTCCAAAACCGTAATTGGAATTTTCTATATAGTTTTTCAAGTTCATTCCGTAAAATGCTGGGATAAGTGTTGCAATAGTTATTCCCAATGTGTACACTGTGACTTTCAACTCAAACAACATGAGCGAGTTTCTATTTGCATCAAGTATGATATTGACAATATCTTCTGTAGCCTTTATATCATTTAGTAAACTTCCTGCTTGTTGCACAAACTCATCACACTGCCGATAATAACTTTCCAAGATCATTTCTAAATCTTCGTAATTATTCAAATTTTCATTTACTTGCTCGTCTACTATATCTTTGCTTTTGCTAACATGATCATCTACTGGTTTCTTTTTCGGGTCACTTAAGTACATCCCTGCTAAATCTTCGTCATTTTCCAATAAATCTTCTAAAACGTTTCTGATTAATACAGCTTTTTGATGGAAACTCAGTAATTGTTTCAGTCTGATAAGCAATTCTTGTAGTTTTTTACGATATACTTCATCTTCCAATTCACTTAATATCATCCCACAGCTATTAATATAGAGTTTGATCTCTGCTTCGAGATAGCTCATTATACTGACTAGAATAGACTCCAATGCTCGAAATTCGTATGGTAATGATGGAGACGAGGAGCTTTTCAATTTCTGCTCTAAATCATACATGAATATGCCCAATTTAGAAGCAACTTCAGGATTCGAGGTATCAAAGACCATTACAGAATTTTTCTTGATAATTGCCTTGATGTATAGAAGATTGACCAATATTGCATTTGACGAGCGAATCATAATCATAGGGATAACATCGATTGACGAAGTATCAATCTTACGCAAATCGCGCGGGTACAAGTGGTTCTCTTTGAGGAATTGCATTTTGGGATACTTTTTGGAAACAGCAGTAATGTTCCCCTTGGAGTCAAAGATTGTGCAAGATACATATAAATCATTGGGCTGAATGGGTTTGAGTCTGTTTATTATAATATGACTAGCATCGTCGCTCAGCAGCTGCCCCAGCCCTTGCTTGGACGTAATCGATGATGCCCTTCCAACTAGATGGTTTGCTGATTGTTTCTTTGGCCTATTTGTGATACTAGTCAAGCATCGAAAACAAATGTTGGCTCTTGGATTTGAAAACAAAAGTAAATTCGGTCGAAATATTCGCTTCATTACCCAACACTGGAGCCCCCTTGCCCTTTATTCAAAGCAACGTAAAGATCTTTAGTTGCAATTATTCAGTTTTATCAATTTTTGATTTTTTTTTTTCAGAGATTGCGAGATGGGCAAGATGCGGCTTGAGATAACAGAAACTTCATAAAAGGACACAGTAAAGAGAGGATACATGGACCAAGGGTATATGAGCAGAGGATTTGTCACTAAAGTTTCCTTTTCTATCAATTCTTCTTCTTTTTTTTTTTTTTTTTTAAGCTTTTATTAATCAAATAAATGGTAAAAGGGCTTTTATGAAATGAATGCTAACTGAATATAGGTGGGAGTTCTCTTTAGTTGAAGAATTTTCTAGTTGGCGAAGGACCAAACAATTCTAGCCTGAGTGCAGGCAATGCTTCCTCAGACAATATCTTTAATCTTTCCTCTAAAGTATTGTCAACTTCAATCTTACCAGTCTCGTTGGTGACGACCACACCACCTGCAATGTCCTTGGATAAGAACTCATCCTTATTCACTGAAATTTCTATTTTCCCCTTGGTCTTATCTTCATAGTTTCTTGTTGCCTCGGAAACTGCTTCCTTAGAAATGTCCAAATCCTGTTTTCTAACCTTGATGGAGATTTTTGCCTCTAATAATGTCAATGCGCCCTCTTCGATTAATCCAACTAAAATCGGCTTATACTTCTCCTTATCCTGAGTAATTTTTTTCAACTCCGCTTCAGCATCATCAAATATTTGATTTAAAATTTGATCCTTCTCACCAAGGATTCTCAATCTCGTCTTGTTACCTATTGTTGATTTTGTAATTTGTTGTGCTAAGCTTGCTTTTTTCAACTTTTGTTCATATGTCGTGTCAATTGCCGCAGTTTCCAACCTTACAGTCGATGCCTTTTCAATCTCATATTCCTCATCGGCTTTCAATCTGATTTCCTTGGCCTTTTCCTTAGCTTCCTTCTCTATGAAGGCTTGCATTTTGGCAAGCTCCGATTTAACCTTTAAAAAAAAGAAAAAGAAAAAAAAGAGAGGTTAGTAAGTAATTCGGGCTCCTTTCTTTCTCTCAAGTATAGTAACCGGGGAAATCTAACACATACTTGTTCGTCCAGTAATGTCATCTTGCAGGTTTCCTTTGCTTTCTCTAAGTGAATGGTCTGAAGAAGCTCCTCCTCCTTGGGAAATTAACAATGTCAATTTACGGGAGTTCAAAAATTCATGAAAATTGTTACAAGTTACACGCCGTGTGAAAAATAACAAATAGCCTTCAATGAACAGTGCTGCTCCCACTATCGAGCAGACCGAGGTAGTGGAGCACACTAGCAGCCAGAGACTTGCTCGATAGTGGAACACACTAGCAGCCAGAGGCTCGATAGTGTTGGTCAGTGCTGCTCTGCTCGATAGTGGAATCACTAGCAGCCAGAGGCTCGATAGTGTTGGTCAGTGCTGTTCTCCTCCATAGAGTCGAAAGACGGTGAGAATGAATATATATATATATATATATGTATGTATATAAGTATATAAATAAATAATGCGATGATTGATTTGATTTTAAAAGGCCTTGTTTAATGCATTCTTGGCAACTTCGACACCCAAGAAAGTGGCTGCATTTGCTGGGAAAGATCTGAGCAATGCTGGGCCAACACCAGGGAAGAATGCTTTTATACCGCCCTTTGCGTAAATGTTTTTGGTAACTTGTGTGATTGAAATGGGTGTATTTGATGATTGTTGAGTTGACTTGATTGTATCAATGGGGAAAACACCCAACCACATAGAAACCCCAGCAAACCCACCGGCTGTCATGATAGCAAGAATAGACAAGTCCTTACCTGGAGTAGACAACTTCTCTTTCAAGTATTCGTATGTGGCAAAGTACAAAGCAGAACCGGGACCGTCTCTTGCCAAGGTGGCTACCGAGCCTTTGAATATGGATCTGATACCTCCAGTTCTATACATTTCTGCAACAACCGCAGCCATTCCCTTTGATTTAGTCCCTTCTTGGATTTGCATCATAACTTTTACTCTTTCAAATGGTGCAGCAACTAGTGTTGTTGGGATCGCACTGATGAAACCAGCAGTCGATATGTCTGCAATTGTAAATTGTTTGACATCTTTACCAGTAAAGTTTCCAACCAATTTCTTACCAACATCATAACCCCAGAAGGAAACAGCAAACATTGGTGTAACTCCAAGCAATGGTGGCAATACACCACGGTATAACCCCAAGGGTCCATCTTTGGCAATTGTGTCTTTGACACACTGAACCGCTGAATTATACAAACCCGTTTGTAATCTCACTTTGACCAAGTCAAACGGGTGTCCTGTGACAACGGCACAAATACCACCAAACCCACCTGCTGTAAAGGATTTGACATTATCCACCAAAGCTGAGTCAACGTCGTCCATTTTGTAATCAAACCCGTATGAAAAACTTCAAGAGAAGATGATGAAATTTTTTTCAAGTAATAAGTTGAGATAATGTGGGGCGGGAGTTTTGTTATATAGTGGGGAAAAAAATCAAGCCCTGAAAAATTAGAAACCTTCAAGAGTTTGAGCTATAATAGTAATTAAAATTGATTGAAAAATTAATACCGAGCTTGAAAATTTGAGAAATTGGGAAATTGAGAAATTGAGAAATTGAGCTTGAAAAATTGGGAAATTGAGAAATTGAGTGGGGTGGGTTGTGTGGGTTGGTGAGGGAGAGTATGTGTATGTGTATGTGTGAGTAAGTGAGAAGAAAAACAATGGACTTGGAACCAAAAAAAGAGAGATTAAGACAAAGTTTTCTAAGCGCATAAAGAATAACTTTGGTTACGGTAGAGATTGACCGAGATGAGTAAGCCTTCTACAGCATATTAGACTTTGCTATATTTTTCTTCTGAAACTAGAAATTATTTCCAAGAATGAAACATATTATTAGCCTTGGCCTTTGACTGGGGCAAGCAATTTTTTGGCTGTGCAGTTTAATTACGAGATTTATTTTTTTTTGTTTAGTCCGAGGTCCGAATCTTGATTTTGAAAGAGTCGCATCGGTACAAGATAAAAAGCCGTGGAGTCACCTGATAATCTAACCCGTGGGTTTGTATTGCACACGACACTATCTACACTATCGAGCGAAGCGAGATAGTGGAGCACACTGACTGTAACCGACACTATCGACACTATCGACACCGACACTATCGACAC